AAGCACCAGGACCTTCTGGTACAATAACAACTCAGTTTAAATGTTGTTGTTATGGTGCCTAGAATGTTCCTTTAAAGGCGCAGTCTAAGCACCATAACCACTACAGCCTGTTATAGTGGTTATGGTGCCAGGAGTCCCCTGACAGCGTCACACAGTAACTTGTCAAGTCTAACTGAGTGACACTTACCTGAACCTGAGTACCTCTGGTCCGGCCACTAATGTGATTAGTGATGCTATATCTGCCTCTGTCTGGACGGGATTAATTGGATGAGAGTGTCAGCTAATGTTGCCTGTCAGACAATAGATTTTGTTTAAATATGGACAAAAGTAATATGTCTGTTGTGCAAAGGATTATTTAACAAATGAAAGCCGGATAAATGTGAAATTTGCTTTGAATTTGAAACAATTCTCACCTATGTGAATTATTATTATTATTGCCATTTTGGAAGATTGTTAGTTTGGTAGAATCTCTCTTGCACAGTCTGTGTTTTAATCAAGAATGACATAGGTTCATTAATAAATGATAGGATGGGCAGATAGTGGTGTAGCAGCGTACTATAGAATAAGTGGTTTGTCATGGTCCAGATCGTGATAATGTTTTGTGTTACGTTACAGAGATACTCAGATACGTCAATTACACAGACCTACATGTGGTTTTCAGCAGTCTTGTTGGGTGAATCCAGTTTTATGGTAAAAAAAAATAATAATTTCAACACAATGCTTGTTGCTGATGTTACTTTTAAAGTAGGATTACAAAGTGATTACTTTGTCTCTACATATTACCTCCGCCTGATTTTCGTAGACTCTGGGCAGAGTCAATCCTGACAGCCATCACCAGTGACAAAAGCAGGAATTGGCTCTGAGACCAAGGGATCCTCCATAGACCTCCATGCAGTACTCTTGGGCAGTTACGTCGGCTCTTGGCGCTGAAGCTCCAGTAGCTCAGGAAGACTCGCCAGAATGAGATGGCCGTACCCACACGGGGCAGGTTCAGGTAAGTAAATCTCACCTTTACCTGGCCCCTCGGTCACCAAACCACCACTGACAAGGACACTATCCGGGGTCTTTGCAAAATCTGCAAAGTCCCCAGATGGTGACAGTGCCACATTCTACCCTTTTAGTTTCCTAGTAATTAATAAACGGCTCATTCAGCGAATACGCTATTGCATGTGTTTGCTGCATTCAAATTATTTTTTTTATAAAGCACCAACGAATTCTGCAGCGCTGTACAATATGTAAATTTACAACAGGTAGTTGCAACAACACAAGTTGGACATACAGGATAAAAAGGTGTTGAGGGCCATGTTCAAACAAGCTCATATTCTAAGGAAAGTGCGGTAAAATGAAGCAAGAGGTAAGTGTGGGCACTGTTTTGTTTCCCTTTGATAGTTGAGGCCTTGGAGCGGCTTTGTGGTTGCATAGCTTGTATTCACTTTCTAGAGTGCAGCACGTTGATAAGTCACCTTTAAAGTTGTCCAGGAAATGTTAAGTTCTGTTTGCCTTCAACAGGTATTACACAGTTTTCTGTAAACAATGTGATCATTGAAACCTGCACACGAGGCATACCTAAAATGATAAAAAGAACATAAATTAAGGGCTACTCACACTCAATACATTGGACAACTATCTAAGGCAGGGGTGCACGAAACGTAGATACCCAGATGTTTTAAAACTACAGCTTCCATGATGCTTTGCCATTCTAAAGGCATTCCACATCATTGGAGTTGTAGTTCTACAACATCTGATGATCTACATTTTGGGCACCCCTGATCTAAGGAGTATGGAACTCTGCAAGAACTCAGTCAGTTAAAGAGTATTGCAGGGTTATTTGCTAACGTGAGAATTCAAAATGAATTTCATGTCATGATTCCCTTTTATTCCAGAAGTTTGGTCCTTAAGGGGTTAAGGCCAGAGTATGGAATCTTAGCTGACTTAGAGAATTTTTCCAGTTCGGCTATTTTGCCCTTAGATTTTACTTTGAATTCTCTCTGAATTCTGATTTTTATCGAATAACCTTTTTTTTTTTTTTAAATTCAGTTTAGACTGTGCCACGAGTTGCTGCTTAGATTAAGATAGTACATTTCCTAAAACGTGGAAATGAGAGGGCCCAGTCCAGCAGAATATAGTTAGCCCTTAAGGGATTAGAGACATGACAACAAAACAGAAACGTTTAAGAAGCTTTTACTGTTGCCATGACAGCAAAGCTATGACAGGACAGCTTTCCAAATGATCAATGCACTTACCTTGTATCACATGGTTATAGGCTAAAATTCAACAGACCTGGTGTATATAGATATATATATATATATATATATATATATAGGTGATATCTCATGTTATTAATAAATTATGTCCGTGCGAGCATGGGCATTTAATAACAGGGATGATTTTCCCATTCCCAACAATTGTTAATTATAATAATGCTATTATAAGCACATAAGGTGCGACTGCCACTTTAAGTCCTAAGCCCCTTCTGTCAGCCTTATGTGTAAGTTACTGAGCTGTTAGCAGTCAGTCGGCTTGCTAGTTTATATTTTAGAGGAATGTGGTCTAAAATAATTAAAGTGCACCTATCATGCAAATATACCCAGTATGTATATAAAATAAATCAATATTTGGGTTACGTTAGGGATTGGCAATATACATAGTCTTTGCAAACATATCGATCAAACAACATTTGTTTTTTGCATGTTTTGCCAATGTCTCCAACGTATAGAGTTGCAGACAATTATTGCCAATTGTCCAGTTGAGCTGTTTTGTCTTACATTTCAAATTGACTTTACTTTGAATTCTCTTAGCGAATAAACCAGTCTGGAGGAAGCTGTGAATTCATTAGTGAAAATCATTTTGAAAAAGTGAAGAAGATAATAAAAATATGCGTTTCCTGTCCCCATATATATTACAGCTGCCTATACACTGTTTAGTGAATAAATCCCCTTTGGATTAAATAGAAAAGTACTTATTGAATACATTTTTAATTTCCATACGTAGAGTACTGCCGTGCAGAATGCCCTGTTTAGTGAATAAACCTTAGATGCCCTAAAATAGAATTGTTTGCGAGACAAAATCCCCAGTTGTTGCGGAGCTGCACAACTCATGATGTTTAGCAAGCAGGGCTGTGTTGTAGCTCTTTATCAGCTCGCAATCAGTCTTTGTCCGTAAGGCAGATCTCCAGCTTGTATAAAATACAACTCACATGATGCTTAGCCAGCAAGGTTAAGTAACCATTTATGGTGCTGCAGTTCTGCTACAGTTTGGGATCTTCTCTGGCTAATAAAGGTGAACTCCCTCTTCTTCTAGAATTTCAACGTCCATGATGCTTAGCCAAAATCGTTGGCTATGAGTCATAAGTGTTGCAGCTCTTCAACAGGGGGGTATTTGCCTTACGGACAAAGTAATCAAAAACAATAAAAGTTGTTAAAAAGCTATAACTCCATAGATGCATAGCCATCCTGACTAAACTTCATGGGAGTTGCAATCATACAACAGGTGCTGTTGTGTGTTGTGCGGGGCTTAGCTCATTGGCTGAGAGAAATCAACTGACTTTCTGAGCAAATGAACTGGCTTTGCAGTGAAGTACTTTACGCAAAAGTGCTAAAGGACGCTCCTATTCTGAGGTTTCGTTAGCTCTCTAAGTAAGAACAGGGGCCCAGTATGGGGCGTGCCAGGACATGAGGTGCGACACTGGTAACATCCAAATGGCCAGGTCCACTCAAAAAGATGATGGCGTGCATACCTGAGTGGACATTCAGGACTGCACTTGTGCACTTTTGAAGCGCTCTGGGCGTGGGTTTAACGTCCTGAGTTTAATTGGCATACTGAAAACACACTATTAATGCGCTCACGCTATGTAGCTATGTAGCACACTCCAGAACAATCCCGGGGACGGCGGTACAGGACTCTGAAATTAGGACAATCCCACCAAACGTGAGACAGTTGGGAGACATAGGTAATGGTGCTTAGAATGTCCCTTTTTTATGTATTTGTTTATTTTTTATAAAACTGGGATTTGTTGAGAGCTAACAAGATAATTGCAATTTTTAGGCCAAAATACTTAAATTGGAAAAATTGTTTAGCGAAGCGGTTTTGGCTAAAACTTGCATAGACTCTTGTCACTTCTCCTCAATTCTTACCTTAGTGAATAAAGCTCGATGTGGTCGGCTCGCTGACAGCTGAGTATTCACAGCTGTCATAGTCCACTTGGCCCTGTAACCAGCAGTGTAACCAAACCCCCCAAGTTCTATCTACCGAGACAAAATGACAATAAATACACCCCAATATATCACGGATCAGCAATATCCGTGAAAATTACCCCGTGTGAGCAACACCCTCCATTCCTCGTGTTTCTGGCCTCTTTATTTATTTACAATAGTTTATTTCCCGTTGTATCGCAGCGCAGACTATAGCGGTGCAATATTACAACAAATATATTAACAAAAACTATATATAACTGTCAACGATAAAAAAAATTAAGAAATACAGGTGAAGGGTGTTTTAGAAATTGTGTATACATCTCTGTATACAGTTACTAATATAGCGGCAACATATTCTGAAGCGCAGCCCAGTAGACTAGTTAAATAAGACAAACACTATATTCTAATAAAACAGGAGAGAAATACTGCAACAGTAGGTGACAAGGACCCTGCCCAAATGAGCTTACAATCTAAAAACTGAACACTAGCAAACTGTTGAGCGTAATGGGAGGGACTCTCTCACAGTACATTCTGCGGCACACAAAATAATAAAAAAATAAACCAAAACACATATTTGTATACCTACACACTTAACAATTCTACTAAAACAATATATATTTTTTTTAATATTTCTATAGTGTAAAGGTTGCAGAGAGTGTTAAAAGAAATGCTAAAATAATACTAATTCACACTCAGTCTCACTGTGCAGCCAGGCTACTAGTAGCCTCATTCCATGGGCCATGTGTGATGATGGTCCCCACCAACCCCCCATTAGTGAGCTGCTGCCAGGCTGGCTCTGAGCAGTGCATTACAGAGCAGGAGCTTGGCTGTTTATCTGAGAAGGGCACAGCTGCAGCAGCCGCCTCTCCCATTGGTTCCCAGCAGCGGTGGTAACACTTCCCATTGCTGAGTGGGGAGGAGGGGAGCCAGGAGGACAGTGTGTCCAGTGCCAGGCTCTGCGCACAGACACCAAGGAGAGCTCCCAGCGCCGAGCCCAGGGGCGGCAGCAGTAGGAGGAGGCTGGCTGGCTGGACTAGTAACTGGCAACTATTGTGTGCAGCCACAAGCCCAGGCTATCGCGAGAGTGTCTTCTTACCAACCTGCTCCAACAAACACAGCGCTGCTAGGCTGCCACACTAACACAGCCACCCAGGGAGGGGACAACAGCACAGCCACATCTGGGGACATCCATGAAGACCCATGAACCCCTCAAACTCTGGCCTTTCAAGCACACCCCAGCTCCTGCCTGTGAGTACACCCCCTGATCAGCCCCAAACAGCACCCCCAAGCTTGTATGCACTTATCCCAGGACTTGGACTTTTTAATCTTTTTATTATTTATTTATTTTTTAGAGAAGGGGGAGGGGGGGGAGCAGAGAGTGACTCATATTTTTTTAAAATTAATATTATTTGTAGGATCATGGAGTGAACTTTGATATATTATTGTGTTTAATCTAAGATTGTGCTTAGGAAGAATAAAGGGGGGGGAGGGGGGTTAATGCTGGAGTTTTTATTTTTAACCCCCTGCTTTTATTTTATTTTTAGATAAGAGCTCACTTCAAGAGGTTTAAATCCACAACTAAGCAAGGGGTTTGCTTTTTTTTTTTTCTTTTCCCTTTTTTTTTGTACTGAGATAGCAAGCTGGGTTTGGCTGTAAAAGGGAACAATACTAAGTTTGGGAGCCGTGGGAACTGGCAAGTGTTAGATGGTAACACAAGGAACCAGTGGGGAATTAAGCTGATCTGTGTGAATACAACGAGGCCAGTCTAGTCTGTACTTCCTTAAACTCCCTGCAGCCAACACCAGGAACTGGCTGCAAAGGTCACTGTCATAGCTCCCCAGGAGCTGGCCTCCTCTTCCCGGATAGAAGGGGTGAGGGGGGTGCACTAATTAGACTGTTAAAACTGACAGAATGTTCTGATAGAACCCAGGATTGCATCTAATTGGATACATTGTAATTCTCTTGTGATACAACATTCTATGCTGCCTGGGGCACTTTAACAGCAAATAGTGAGTTTAAATATAATGGAATGAGTGCAGTTAATGGCTGTGGATTTATTTTATTTTATTTTGGGAAGAGGTTATCACATTATTTACCTCCCCCAGAGTCCTTATATGTGACTTTATTTGAGCTGTTGTGGCAGACAGCAGCCCTTCCTAGGCTGATCATTGATCTGAGCATGCAGAGGTGTTCTGCACCTGTATCGGTGAGCTTCTAAAGTTACTGGTGGGGAGGAGGGGAGAGAGAGGGGGGGCTTGTATTGACTGCCTAACCTGACCAGCAGTTGCACCCATGTAATAGATGGCTATAAATGGGGCTGTTGGAACTTTAAAAGGCAGCTAGCAGCGTGGTTGGCTGGTAGCTAGATTTGCAGTAACATATGGCATTAAAAGGAGCACAGCTGGAGGTAGCATTTCCATAGCAGTGAAGTCAGAGCAGCTGACTTTCCAGCTTGCAGTGTAATTAGCAAAGAACTCAGCCTCCTCCTCCTCCCTCACACACACACAACTCACACTGACACAGGGACACACTATGTCTCTCTCTGCCTGTCTGCTGGAGTCCTTGTGATACCACCAGCCTTTGCAATGACACTGAAGATAGTAAGCTCACCCTAAAGGTCCCTGGGGCAGATATCCTGGGAACTCTTTTGTTGCAGCAGGGGGAAGGTAAGAATGAGCATACTGACAGTTACACGTTGAGGGTACTTGGCATTTTATTTATTTTTGTTATAATTCCACTTTTTTTGTGTGTGTGAAAAGGGGGGGCAGCAAGACTTGTATTGTGGATTTGGGTTCCTGTTTATGTGTTAACACCTTCCAAGTTATTGTTTATTATTTATTGTAAAAGCAAACTTTTGTAAGTTTAAACACTACTGTAAAAGACAGTTTAAACTTGATCATATTTTTTGTTGAATTGTATTTAAAATTTGGTACCTTAGAGTCCTTATGTTTTGGTGTGAATTGGCTGTTTTGTTCATTACCCCCTTAATGTAGTCTTCTGTGTCTCTGGATTTTAATTAAGGTAAATCTGTATCTACCAGATGTGTCTATTATTTTTTATTTTTTTTGTAACATGGACAGCCCAGTGGCTAGGCTAATCTGTTTAACCCTTTGCAGGCAGGAGAATATGTCCAGCACACAAAGGGTTAAATAGGTTAGGAAATTACCAATAAATAAATAAAAAAGAGCCAAGCCCTCTGGGTTTTAAAAGCAGCGGTTACCATAACTACTTTTAGCTAGAGCTTTGCTGTACTGACCGAAAAGGGACAAAGCTTTGAAACTGCTTCTTGTTAGCTTTTGTTTGTTTTAAATCAAGTTTTTCCTGTTTCGGGCAGGTGCAGTTTTGATGAGAGGGTTTCTGCTTAAAAAAAAAAAAAATCGCAACCGCTGTTAGAGAATTGAACAGAAAATGTTATACGTTAGGCTTGTTTAATCTACACTGCTAAACTGTTTTGTGTGTTGCAGCTGTGAAGTGGATTGGGTTTACTGTAACATTCAAGTTTTTCCTGTTTTTGAACAGGTTATGAAGGAAGAATGGAGTTCCCAGACCATAGCCGCCAGTTGCTGCAGTGTCTGAGTCAGCAGCGTCACCAGGGCTTCCTGTGTGACTGCACTGTTCTCGTTGGAGAGGCTCAATTCCGAGCACACCGAGCTGTCCTTGCGTCCTGTAGCATGTACTTCCATCTTTTCTACAGAGACCAGCTAGACAAAAGGGATATTGTGCATTTAAACAGTGACATTGTCACGGCCCCAGCATTTAGCCTGCTGCTTCAATTCATGTACGAGGGCAAGCTCGAGTTGAGCAACCATCCAGTAGAAGATGTGTTGGCAGCTGCGAGCTATCTGCACATGTATGACATTGTGAAAGTCTGCAAGGGCAAGCTAAAAGATAAAGAACTTAATTCAGGAGAAAAGATCGGTGGTGAAGAATCTGATCTGGAGAAAGAGGATAGATTGTTAGATATGGATGGAAGCCCGGGGCATGCCTTGGACCCCAGCAGTAAACAAAATACGTCCAGCACAGAATATGCTAAACCTGTTCGGAAAGAAAACGCCAGCGAGCTTCCTGCTTGGTCCTCTGAACTGATAGGTGCCAACTCAGTGTCTACAGAGGCGGTGTCATGCAAGACAGCAGCTGGAAAAACAAAAGCCGATGTGAATAGCCCTTCGTGCCCTTTGTCCCAGAGATCTGCTAACCATACACAAGCTCCAAGTGATGGGGATTGTGCTCTGGATTTGTCTTTCAAGCCTGTGTCTGGGAGAGATTCCTTACACCCCTCCTACGTCTTTGGACAGCTGGCTTCCGACAGCCAGCAGCACGGCACTGTGCCACTTGTTAAGGATGAACAAGACTTGCTGTCAGAACAGGAGGACATTGATGCAAAGAGTCCAAAAAGTCAACATGTTGGGAATCCAGCCAAAAGTCTAATGACTGGGTTAGGGCAGATGTTTGCAGGAAATGGGAATTCTCACGTTCGGGAAGATGACTTGTACCAAGACCGAGATGAGAGTGAAGATGACATGGATTCATCAGATATTTCTGCTTCAGGTGTGCTGGTGGCCCCAGGGCAAATTTGCATATGTCCTCTTTGCAGCAAAGTGTTCCCAAGTCCGCACGTTTTGCAACTTCATCTCAGTTCTCATTTCAGAGACCGTGACGGTTCTAGGATCAAGATGTCTCCAGATGGTTCTGTGCCCACCTGTACTATATGTGGGAAAACGTTCTCCTGTATGTACACTTTAAAAAGACACGAACGCACGCACTCTGGCGAAAAGCCGTACACGTGTGGGCAGTGTGGGAAAAGTTTTCAGTATTCCCATAATCTCAGCCGGCACGCAGTGGTCCACACCAGAGAGAAACCACACGCGTGCAAATGGTGCGAGAGACGGTTCACTCAGTCAGGTGACCTGTACAGACACATTCGTAAGTTTCACTGTGGCCTAGTCAAGTCATTGGTTGTTTAACATTTATATTATTTAGGTTTATTTAAAACTGGCGATTTTTGGAACTGCATGAAATGTCCCAGTGCAACAAATCAAGATGCTGAAATGTCAATACACATGTTGTCCCAGCACTTGCAGCTGTCTCCTCAAAGCAAACACAATACACCGGGTAAATGCGTGCATGATGTAACAGTATTTGCCAGGATGTTTAGAACCCCCGAATAGGGCAATTTGCCATAAATAAATTTGGATGGGAATTTATGTAGAGAACCTGGGCTTTATTTACTAAACAGCTCATGTGAATTGAAAACTAAACTGCAACATTTAGGAGAACACAGCCAAGCTGAGGGTATAGTTAAATTGGAGACTACTGTGCAGTTTGATTTTCAATTTGCTCCAATTCAGTGTTTAGTTAATAAACCCCTAAGTCTCACTTTTAAAACTGTACTTTTTTCTCTTTTAGTGTCTGACTTCTCCAATGCCTCTTGCTCACCTGCCTAGGAATCTCTAATTATTTAAACTTGCAAAAGTCTTTTAAAATTGCATTAAATGCAAGTAAACTGGATAGAAACGGACTCCTGGCGTGTCCCTTAATGTCAGAATTAAAACTTAAAAAAACAAAACAACAACCATCAGGAAACTACTCCCAAACGAAAGCACTGTTCTTTTGTTATAAAAACTACCTATACCCCAGGGTGTCTGTTACCTTTCAGAAATCTGAAATTAAGCAGCTACTTAAAATTCAGCAATTATACCCATCTGCGCTTTTATTTAAAACATTACCAGATGCAAATTAACGTTTCACCTTTACGTATTTAAGATGAAGTATAAAACTCATCGTGCTGTATTTGTAAAGTGCTCATTTGAAGCCTCCTGAAATGACTTTGTAAAATGAAGTTCTAATTTAAGTGCTAATTACTATATGTGTTAAATACTGATATTACAGTACTTTTATTTAGGTTTTTGTACCCAAAATCAATCGAATTACAATGAAGTATTCGTTTTTGAAGAAGACTGGCATTTATTTTTTTCTTTAATGTTAATATAATAGAAAGTGCCATCTGAGACGAATAGATTTCGTATTCTTTGATAGAAGCAGTAATCTGTTCCAAACTGTGAAATTCTTTGACCTCCAAGCGAGAATTGACACTGTCTGCATATTAACAAACATTACCACATAATGATTCTGTTACTATCCACTCAGGGCACAATCTGCTGTCAATGTTTAACAGAACTGCTATGTTAAACGTCTTAAATACTTCCGGATTATGGCATCCCACAGTAAACCCACAAATTAGGCTCTGTATGATTTAAACCCAATTTAATGAATCTGGGGGGTGGGGGGGAAGAGACGTTGAATCCCATTGATATCTAAAGCACTACATTTTATTTCTCAATGCCAATATCCTGTAGTGGTTATATAACTCAGCAACCCAGAAATATTTTCCTAAACATAATACTACTAATTACAAAACACTATCAAAGTTTCATGAAACCTGTTTCAAAAGGTTTAATACTAAAATACCCAGCATGCACTTCTGATATTCTTTTCCTAAGCGATTTCTGCATATTGCTTTGACCTATACTGTATGCATTTCTACAGGGAGGGGAGATGTCCTATATGGAAGTAAATAAGGCCTCCCCCCAATACTCTGCAGACATTTATGTAATGTGAAAAAAAATGATCTGTAGAATACAATCTTGTTTCTTCACCACATTGTAAAATATTTTTTTGTAGCTGTTACGTTCATGTTAAAGACATGGTACTGTTTTGGGGTTTTGGTTTTTTTTGTGGACATTTTAACCTGAACAGTGGTACATTGAAGCAATGATCCTAGTTACTGGTTAGTTATTTTTGCTGTGATTTGAAATAGCACTGAAAAAAAAATACTAAAATTTGTAAGTTATTTTGTGATTCTTTTTTTCCTGATGGTACTTGATATAGTATTTATTAGTTATTTGAAGTGACATGATTTATAATTTAGAGTTTATTTTTAGATCTGTTTATTTTTTATTTTTTTTCGTTATGCCCCTTTTAAATCAAAGGAACTTAGTCCTGAACTAGAAAGATGGCAATTTCTATAAAAGTTTTGTTTTTTATTATTATAATTATTTGCATTTATGATTTTTTTTTTTTTTGCTAAAATATTTAATTTATGCATATGTTAATAAAACATTAAATAATGTAGAACAACACTGGTAAGAGATGAAGAAACATATACATTTTGTGATGACTATGGACATAAATACAGCAGTGGGTATAGGGCTGAAAGAAAATTCTTCATGAAACGTTTTATATTTTTGTGTTTACATCAATTAAAAGTGTGCCCAGTTGCCTTCATGTAAAAAGCTGTTTTTTTCTGTTTGTTTGAAATCAATTATGTTTGCACTTAATTTGTTTTTGTTTTTTAAGTCAATAACACTGATTTTTTTTTTTTCTCACAGTTTTATAGGCATGTGGTGTGTATTGCAAATTCTCTCTTTTTGTGTGCATGCACACATTGCACAGTAGCAGTTTTGGGTATTTTCATTTTTTATTATTTTTATCTGTACCTGCAGAACTGCTCCTGGGTTGTTAACACTGTATGTGAAGCATAATCACGCAAATGCTGTGAAATCACTGAAAATGATCAGTCTCTATTGAGTTGACAATGTATATGTACAAATACACTATTTCTGTATAAAGTTTTATACCATATACTGTGTAGACAAACTTGTTGGCTTTGAAAATATTTTATATAAAAAAAAATAATTATTTTGCTGTTCTACAGAAAAAAAAATGCATTTTTTTTCTTCTCTTTAATTTTCTTTGTTTGTGTGGTGTGTTTAATTTTGTACAATCTTCAGTTTGTGTTTGTTTAAACTGACAATCGTGAATAGAATTAATGTCAAACTATATATATATATATAAATATATATATATTTTCTCTCTGTCACAAAATAAAATCCAAGTCTGTTAGAAATTAAATTTAAATTAGACTTTATGGGCTTGCTTTACTTTCTTTTAGTTTTTGTTTTTAAACATTTTTTTTTATATATATATTTTTATCTTAAAACAGTTCTACATTCCAAAAAATCTGTTGTTTTACTAAAATACAAGATTTCACAAATCATTAGGCTTCCTTATAGCTCCCCCTCCACCCTCTATATTTTTTTTTTTTTTTTTATGGATTGAATCATTTGCTTAAATCTGATCATTTATACACTTGATTTGAAAGATGCTAAAATGATTAAAGGCTGATATTTATTAAAAAAACAACAACAACAAACGAGTCCACCACTACCCATCACTAAGAAATGGATTGTAAACTGTTTTCATATTCCCGATTCCAGAAATTGTCTTGTAAAATACTGGTGTACAACTCTTTTGATTCAAAGGCAATATAGGATTCCTTACTTTTTAAACATACCTTTCAATAATCCGTTACATAAAACATAGCAAGCCCTCACCCTTTCAATATAGTAACTAAACAAGTGTCTTACATTCCCCCCTAAATTATACGTTGCCAAACTGAAAAAACAAACTGTTTCTGAATAATAAAGTTAAGTCAAAATACAAGGCTTTACAAAAAAAAAAAAATAATAAAAAAACTGACTACGGTTTTTATTTTCATTTTTATTTTAATATACATAAACCGCTCCTTGTAGAAAGTGGTAAATTGGGTAAATGGTTCAGTTTTGCCTAAAACTGCATTGATTTTTAAATTTGATGTTGTGATAGTGGGTTTTAAATTTTATTTTTGAATGCATTCCTACACATGGCCACAAGGGGGAGTTTCTTGTAAGATGCAGGATTTGCAATGACTGGATCCTTTCTCTGCTTACTCTTTAGGCTTTATACACAGTAGTAGATGAGAGCTGGCACGTTTTACACACGACTGAGCCGTATGTATGTTTCTGGACTGCTATAGCTCTAAAAGAGACAGTCTCAAATTATGAAAAAATGGCCAGGGTTCGGTACTGGTAGTTCCACATATTTTAGTATGGCACCTTTTGGGGGAGGGGGACATCAACGTGGTGGTTGTCCGACTTGGATCCTCATTAGGCGATTATTATTTTTTATAAAGTTGCAGCATATTCTACAAGTAATATTGGACTTGGGCTACGTTTACATAATTGGGGGAGATTAGCAATGACTATTAAATCTGATTTGGTCTGTCCTCCATTTGTCTGTGGTAACGTTTTAATAGTCATGGATTTTGTGATAAAGCACCAATCCCTGGACAGGTAGCATTAAAGGGATACAGATATACATCTGTATTCCTAAAACTATAGTTCCATTGCCCCCCCCCTCCCCGGCGCTGCAAGGGTAAAAAAAAAACCTTGCAACACTTACCTGATTCCAGCATCGAAGTCCCTCGCCGCTGGGTTGACGCTTTGCCTCCTACAACGCCTCCTGGGGGGGGTGGGGGATATAATGCGCAGTGAGCTCCCCAAGTGCACTAGGTCCTCCCCACAGGAAAGCGTTTTGTCAATGCTCTCCTATGGTGTTTTTACTGATGCCGGATGCCCTCATGCAGAGCGTAACAACGCCCAGCGCCTATTAAGTGACCTAAAAGTCCAGTAAAATCACGTCCACTAGAGACTGTCTCAGTTTCTCAAAAAATGCAATGTTTTCCATTGCCGGACTAAGGGGGACAGGAACACAAATGCGCGGAAATGATGTGGGTGAATATAGTGTCACTTTAAAGGAAGACACTGTTGTCGTTATATTTGTATCTCTCTGTTACAATGTTTATATGTACTTTGATATAGAATTTAATCTTACTAGCATCACTTTCAGTGTTTGTAAACATGCACCTCTTATTTCTGTGTCTCTACCTCCCTCACTAAGACTTAAGTGGAACAAAAGTTGTGCTATTTGAAGCCTCACATACTGTTTGGGGTAAACATCAAAACACTCCACCTTTTATTTAGACAACAACGTTATTTTGTTTTCTCTTAAGATCCATCAATGCAAATGAAACACATGTTCTCTACAACAGACTGACTTGTCTATTTGTCACTGTGGTCCTATGTGACATCCTTATTTCCTCCCTAGTGGGACATGCAGATAGACGGTGTGTAGCTAATAACCTCAGAACATAGATTATATGTTTTTGCCCTGTAAGTAAATGTTGCTATGCATTTAATTAAATGTACCTAGCCCTATATACTTTATTAGAGCAATGGAGATAGATGTTGTAAGCAGTTCACTAATATGTGACTGCGATTTCATCAAAGGATTGGAATAGTATTGAATAAAGTTCATTTTTTTGGTGAGGTCCACATCTTAACAAACACTTGATTAAAAAGTACACACAGTTTATTTACCAAACAACTGACAACAAAATAGCTGCACCGATTAAAAAGATAGATAAAGTAACAAAATGAAAAAATATTGGATATCAGGATCCCTGCAGCATAAAACTAGCACGCTCCTTATCACGGTGGTTTTCTCACAATATTTTGGATTTTTTTTATTTTTATTAAATGTAGATGGCTTTTATTTTTTCCAGTTGCATGAAACATTGACCTTGGGGCACAGATAACACATTTTTCCTTATTATAACTGTTTTTATTTTTGTAAAGCACCAGCGTATTCAATGTAGGCACACAGGGTTATTTACTAACCTGAAAACTGTCAAGAAAGTACATTTCAAAGTGAATTTTACATTTGAGGCTAAAGTAGCCACACTGGAAAAGAAACCTTAGGTCAGATTCACGTTTGGCTACTTTGACCTTAAATTGGAAAATCACACATACAACATGAAATCCTGCACTCAAACTCCCACTATTCCTGGGCAGCAGCAATACCTACAACAAGAGCCAAATAAATGTATCACACAGCCATGTTACAGTGCTGCAGCCCAACCCATGTGTTCCCTATTAAGGGTTAATAAGCATGTAGCTGTTTAAACAAATACCCCTCTCTGTCTCATTAGAGATTTTCCCTTCTAGCAGAAAGCAGCAAGGTGAATTGTTAGTGTAGGACTCACCTAAGAGGTTTTGCCCTGATGTGGCACGTGAGCTTACCTCCAGTTATTTAATATACATTGGGATTTGGGACAGTGCGCGTATCGGGAGAACCTGACAAGCCAAAGTACAGAACTTTGACACATGTGACTTCCATCACAGGTAACTTTTATTCCTTTGGTTTAAATTGGAAATTCACTTTCAATTTCTGACCATTTGCATTTACGTGAATAATTCTGCAACAATGCAAACCTAGGCGAAGTTTTAAAAATCCACACCAACCTGTGATATGATTACACTGGTTTAAAAGTATGGTCCGAAAATCTAGATTTCAAAAACATTCTTGTGCTTTGACGTGTTACTTGCTACCATTTAAAAAAAGTTTTCTTAAAACACATTTATCCAGAAATACCAAAAAATAGTGACCTCAAAACTGTATAAAATTTTGAGCTTGGACCCAGTGCAGCAGCACCTCCTAGTGGCTGCTACAAACATACCTGCTTATTTGTGTAGCCTTTAGTCCTATTATTAAACTTGGGTCATTCTTTATAAAAATTACTGCAGCTCAAAGTTGTTTTTATTTTTTTTGCATCAACTAGCAGCACCCTTGCATTAATTGCAAGTTAATTGCTTCATTCTTGGTATATTATCAGCAATGTAGACTGGACTTTTTTTTTTAGACTCCGTAACCATAACCTTTTTTTCTGACAAAGTTCGATGTAGCTCTTGCACATGTACTTCACAGCTAGCCAACTGACCGTTATTTATCAAAAATGCTGGGGCTTCCCCCTGCTTGCTGTATCATGCAAATTCTGCCTTGGGTATTTTAGCTGGGAAGATAAAGTTGGCAAATGATTAGATAACACAACAAAAATAGATTTTACTGGGGGTCGTCGCAATGTCATCTTCTTCTTGACTTTATCCTAGAAAGATGTAGCGGACATTTGTCTGCCTCTAGTTCTGTTTTAAAAAGGTTTATACATTACATATATACAATACATTATCATATATGCAAAACCATTTAATTTGGTAAACCATGCAATATGTGTCCATATTGGTCCTGTCAATCAGGTAGTTATTCAAGCTGAGTATAAAATTAGTCATAGCAATATAGTTTAGAATTTGTCTAAAAAGAAACTAATTAGCCAATGCTATATAATGAAGGGAAGATTTACATCCCTAAGAATGAAGATTAGAGGTTCCTCTTAAAGTCTTTAAAGTGTAACATTTTAAATTAAAAAGCTTTGAGAATACAGGTAGTACTGTACGTATCTTAAAGGGTTACTCCAAGCTTCATAACCACTACAGGACACTTACCCGGATCCCTTTTGGTTTTCACGGCTCCTTCCTGCTCTAACGTAATTCCACCTGTGAATGACAGAAGTTGATCTAGTTGCCATTAATTGTCTGAAAGTGGAAGCAGATGACTGACTGGCTGAATGACTGGCACACTGCGCATGTCAAAACTGGTTCCAGGCTGGATAATAACACCCTCACCACTCACCTCTGGCAGCAAAGGGGATCAACTATGTATATACACAGACTCCAGGCACCGTGACCACTTCAATTCACGGAAGTAACCCATCAAGCATAATTCTCAATGTCTTCCACTAGTTGATTATAAGTCGCAGCAACAAAATCTACACTCTTTGTGTGACTCGTACATACATACATTTCTAGGGTGCCAAGATTGCTTGTAAGAGAGTCCATGACTACTTAAAATCTTCTTCATGCTGCAAAAATTGCTGAAATAAAATTTCAGAATCTTCATTTTTTTTCCTTTTGGCATGAATCTGTATCAAATGCTAAAATCAGAACAGAAATGAGGAAATTTAGACATGTTCTAATTAAGACTGGTGTATTGGATAGGATTGGGTGGTATGTTGGAAAAAAAAAAACAATATGTTTTTTAGCTTGCAGTAC